AAAAAAAAAAAAAAAAAAGAACTAAGATTCTGTCCTGCTTGAAAAGCTAAAGCTTTCATGTATGATGCTATTTTTCTCACTAATGAGTCAAAATGTATTTCTTGATTCTTATAATAATTATTCCTTCTATTATTCATTTAGCAGCCATCCTTTTGCTTCATGAGCACTTCCTGTTGCCAAAGCTAGTTTCTGTGTTTTTTGCTGAGGGAGGGAGATGTCTACTGAGTGTCTAATACAAATCAGCCTCTTGACTTACTTTGATCTTGTCCAGTGACCACACTGGATTGAAGACTTGTGTGAAGGCGATTTCTTTGAAAGTGATCCCTGCAGTACATGTTGAGAGCCTGGGATGAGGACAGAGAAGTCAAGTTCACATTGATGAAGGGGTCTCATGACTAGGCTTAGGTCTGGGGGGCTTGAGAGGAAGTGGGAAGTGACTGACAGTAGGTGCAAGGTTCTTTTGAGGATGATGAAAATTTCTAAAATTGATTAGGGTATCTGATACAACTGTGAATGAAAAATGAACTAAAACTACTGAATTGTCTACCTTCAGTGAGTGCACTGTATGGTAGGCGAATTATATCTCACTAAAGCTATTTTTTAAAAGCAGTAATTCTATCACTCTTGAGTAATCCTATCACCTAAAGTACATATGATAAAAAGTGAAAATCCTGGGGCCGGGGATTTAGCTCAGTGGTTCCATCACCTGTGTCACAAGTGCAAGGTCCCGAGTTCGATCCCCAGAACCAAAAACAAGTGAAAATCCTTTCTCTTACCCACCCCTCTTCTCCAGGCAGGCACAGTGCTACCGAACTAAATCCCCGGCCCATTCTATTCTTTTTGTCCATGAAAAATGTTCCCACAGATGTCCAAAATACTAATGCTTTATTAGTATTTCCCCAGTGAGAACTCCTGGTAGATAATAAGGAAGCCTATATGTCAATACCTTGGATGGCATGTGCAAAGTTCTAATTGTATATTATTGATGTGAATTTTCTTATATATAAAGAGACTTTTGTCTTATATCCTTATGTCTTTTAAGGGCAGGAAACCATGGTTAGATTAGGTCCATAGATAAAGTTCATCACATAGGGCTGAGAAACCAATGTGGATAATTTATGACTATTACTTAACGTTTCTTGAGAAAATACAGTGTCTTTTCCAAAACCTTTCTTTTATCTTAAGGGTCCTGAATCTTTCATCTCTGACTTATAAAATGAAATTTATTTGAGTTACTCTAGTGGGAGTCCTCCAGATCCTTGTCCAAAATTGCTCTCAAAATAATATTAGCCGGGCATGGTGGTACACACCTATAACCCCAGCACTTGGGAGAATGAGGCAGGAAGGCTGCTGTGACTACACAGTGAATTTAAGGCCAGCCTAAACTACATAGTGAGACCCTGTCTCAAAAACAAACAAAAAAACCCCCCAAAACCAGTGGTACTTCGGTTCACAAACTTAATTTGTTCCATACTGCTGAGGAAGATAGTAGTGTTTGTCGCCTGATGCAGAGTTTGAGAATGGAAGGAAATTTTTGCTTAATATTTCTGTTAGCAAAACAAATTGTTTTTGGACAGAAGCATTCTTGAACTGAGGTATTACTGTAATGACATAAATGGACAGTCTCAATGGTCTAAAAAGGTGACCCTTTTAGAGATATTTTACTTATTCTTATTACTTTAGGGATAGGCTCAGACTTATTCTTTTTTTTCTTTAGATTTACTTATTCTTGAGATTTACTTGAGGAATGGCCATGTATGAGTACCATCTTATAAAAGTAATATAGAAGGTCCAGGGATTTAGCTCAGTGGTTCCACTGCCTGCCTCGAAAGCACAGGGTCCTGAGTTTAATCCCTGGTACCAGAAAAAAAAAAGTAAAATAGGATAGAAATGAGGCCTGGGATTTACTTCAAAATACTCTAGGGTGTGAGGTGGAATGGGTGGATTGGGTTGATGAACCAAGACTGGTCATGAATTGTTAAACCAGGATAATGAGTATGTGGTAGTTCATTACACTTTCTCTCAACTTTTCCATATGTTTAAAATTGTTTATAATAAACACTTTTTTGAAAATGTGCCTTCTAGTTTAGGTTCATGAGTCTGCTAGTAGGGAAGGGGGAAGAGGGCATATTAAAGATGATATTGATGCTCAAGAATGACAGAAACTTCAGGAATGGCTTCCAAATGTTTTCCTGTGCCATAATTGTTCAAAGACAGTGTATTTGAGAACTGAAATAAACACCCCATTAAGGAAACTGAACACCTTCTTCCAATACCTGCTAGCTAGACCTTTCCAATGCAGACCACTCACTTGTTTTAAGAATCTACTATCTCTAAGAGTAAGTCCTAGAAATTATTTCACCAGTAAGTTCCCCATAATTTATTTTAAAAAGAAACAGAATCCAACCTGAAATAGGTCTTTAAGGGAATGGAGAGGCCTGATGCTGGCAGATGCACACCTCATTACAGCCAGCTGTTTGTCTAAATTCTCTGTGTGCGACTCTGGCAGCTGTCAGCACAGGGGGAGTGGTGAGGTGGATTAGCTGAGCCTTTGCTGCTGCAAAGATGGATGGCTTCTAAGGGGAGCCTCTTCTCACAGTGACCAGGTATGATATTACGGAAAATAATGGTCAGAACGAACATCACCAGGCCCCTAATGAGAAACTGTTGACGGAAAAATTGTTCTAGCATTCATCAAAAAGCCAATAAATGCCAAGGTAGGGACTGGAAATGAAGCAACTCATAAATTCCTTCTCAAGGGGACTCTAGAGGGGAACTTGGGGATAATACACCTGCTCTGGCTTTTTCTTGAGCATTGCTGAATAGGCTTCCAGAAAGCCTACATTTATGGGTGACTTGCCTTGATAGTTTGGGGGCAGTGTTAACATGGGGACTACTCCAGATTTTGCTTAGAGGCTTTTCTTCTGGGGGCCAGTACTGGCTAGGTCTCTATCTTTTTAGTCATTTATACTTCCTCCGTGATGTCACAGTTTGTAAGTTAACAGAACTAAGAGGGGCCGGGGATTTAGCTCAGTGGCACCGTGCCTGCCTTGCAAGTGCAAGGTCCTGAGTTCGATCCTTGGTACTAAAAAAAAAAAAAAAAAAGAACTAAGATTCTGTCCTGCTTGAAAAGCTAAAGCTTTCATGTATGATGCTATTTTTCTCACTAATGAGTCAAAATGTATTTCTTGATTCTTATAATAATTATTCCTTCTATTATTCATTTAGCAGCCATCCTTTTGCTTCATGAGCACTTCCTGTTGCCAAAGCTAGTTTCTGTGTTTTTTGCTGAGGGAGGGAGATGTCTACTGAGTGTCTAATACAAATCAGCCTCTTGACTTACTTTGATCTTGTCCAGTGACCACACTGGATTGAAGACTTGTGTGAAGGCGATTTCTTTGAAAGTGATCCCTGCAGTACATGTTGAGAGCCTGGGATGAGGACAGAGAAGTCAAGTTCACATTGATGAAGGGGTCTCATGACTAGGCTTAGGTCTGGGGGGCTTGAGAGGAAGTGGGAAGTGACTGACAGTAGGTGCAAGGTTCTTTTGAGGATGATGAAAATTTCTAAAATTGATTAGGGTATCTGATACAACTGTGAATGAAAAATGAACTAAAACTACTGAATTGTCTACCTTCAGTGAGTGCACTGTATGGTAGGCGAATTATATCTCACTAAAGCTATTTTTTAAAAGCAGTAATTCTATCACTCTTGAGTAATCCTATCACCTAAAGTACATATGATAAAAAGTGAAAATCCTGGGGCCGGGGATTTAGCTCAGTGGTTCCATCACCTGCGTCACAAGTGCAAGGTCCCGAGTTCGATCCCCAGAACCAAAAACAAGTGAAAATCCTTTCTCTTACCCACCCCTCTTCTCCAGAAATAATGTCAACACAATGCAATAAATCTTAGCTCACAAAAAACCCAAAACAAATAAATTTATCTGTGGGCTGGGCAATTAATAAAGGAAATTATTTTGAATTTTCTTAGTTGTGATAGGAGTACAACAGCTATGTAAGAGGCTGTCATAAATTTAAGGAAATGCATATTGAAGCACTTAGGATTAAATATGATGCCTGCAACTTATTTGTGAATAGTTTGGCAAAAAAATCACACAAATAAATGCAAATACATGAATGTATTAATTGACTCTAGATTGCGATTGTGGTACATGTTGCACTATTTTAATTTTTTAAGTGTCGTAATTATTTACAGTACTTATTATTTGCAGTACTGTTGATTAAACCCAGGGCCTTAGCACTTAGCTACAATCCCCAGCCTCTTTTATTTTTAGAACAGGTCTCACTAAGTGGCTAAGTTGCTCAGGCTGGGCTTGAACTTGTAATTCTCCTGCCTTAGCCTTCCTGAGTGCTAGGGTTATAGGCATATTCTAATGTCTAATGTTTTTCATAATAAAAATCTGGAAAGAAATAGATTGGCTGGATTAGGGCCAGCTTCTGCTGGAGTACATGGCCACCCAGCCCCAGAACAAACTTGGGATTATTTGTGAGAAAGAATGCGTGAAGTCAGTGTGCATGTTCATGTGGACGTGTGAGGTGGGAATGGCCCCTGGGTAGACAAACCAACAGTGTCTGCCAAAAGGAACCAAGAGTCATTGCAGGAACAAACCCTTTATTATTTCCTAGTCCTCAGCTCAAAGGCCAGCAGTACAAACTGTGTGATACAAGTTACAGTACTTCTTCAGTTTCCTTTTCTGTAAAAGGAGAATGGTATTGATTAAATAAAAACAATGTATGAAAGCTCTAGGTGAGTCTTAGTCATTATGATGGCAGGGTCTGAATCTTACAGAACTTGTCATTGGCAGCGTTTGCCTGCAGTAGGTGCTAATCAGTGTTGTGCAAATGACTGAGAGGAAGGGTCCAAGGAATGCTAAGAGACAGACTGCAAGTATAGGAAAGAGTGCAAGGGATGAGGAGTGGTTGCTGATGTGAGCATTAAAGGGCCTTCAGGAAAACTTCACAGGTAAAAACTGGACAGATTGACTAATTTTCTTAAAAGATAATTATCAAATAATGAGAGCGATAACTCTAACAGTAACAACTGAGATAGTTTTAAGGTTCACATAAGCAATTAATGACTTCAATAGAGCCTACCCAGAGCAAATCTATTAGATGTCTTGATCATTTTCCAGCTAATCATACACTTCATATATCTATCTGAAGAATGTCTTATCACTAGAAGCCTAAGCCTCTGGAGACCAAAGAAATGCTTCAAATCAAGTGCAAAACCCACCTAAGTCTGATTTCAACCAGGGGGAGCAATGCAACCCCCGAATGTCAACCTACATTTACAAAGAGATACTTGCCAACTTTCCTGGATCTAAAAGGAAAATGTCAATTTAATTCATGTTCTGTTGAACTGTTTAACTTTCTAAAAGTGATTTAGCAAATGTAGTCTGAGCCAGGAGTGGTAACTCATGTCTTTAATCCCAGCTACTCAAGGGGCTGAGGAAGGAGAATCACAAGTTCCAGGCCACCTAGTAAACAAGACCTTGTCTCAAAAAAGTAAAAGGGGCTGGGATGTAGTACAGTGGTAGAGTGCTTGCCTAGCATACACAAGGCCCTAGGTTCAAAAACTTGACTCTGCTGTG